ATGGGAGAAGAATCTAGGAGCTGATTGAAGGCTGAGACAGTTATCAGAAAATAAATTAGTTATTTGTATTTGTATTTTTTTTTATTAATTATGTTGCAGCCTATTTTATTAAAAGAAAAAAAAAGGATACAACATTAAGAGATGAAGAATGAATTATGGAATCTTTTTACATCTTGTGTCTTTATTTATACTAAACTAAGTAGAATTGTTTGTCATCCAAATAATACAATTCTGAAGAGAAAGACTCTTTAGTACCTTAAATACAAGCTACTATGCATGGGCGGAAGGAGTTAAGGCCTACGAGGCACAAGCCTCACCCTTTTTTTTTCACTAAGAATTACTTCATTAATCATATTAAAATAGTGAAAATTTCTCTTTTAGTTTTTAAATGCCCCTCCTCCCTTTTTCTTCTCCTCATACTAATGTCTAAACCTTGTTGAGTTGCATAAGTGTTTAATTAGTACGAATGAGCATTAGATTGTCAATATAATAAACAAAAATAGACAATAGAGTAATAAAATTAGGCATTTTGTAGCTATTTGTTTTCAGCATTTGTAAAAATACTATGATTATGCCACATAAAAGATGAATTTTTTTAAAAGGCAATGCTTGAGCAATAAGTATGATACACACAAACACACACACACTTTTATTTATGCATATGCACCACGTTTGATAATTAAAATTTTGTGCTTCAGGGTTGACTGTTGATGCATTTCCATAAAGATCCAAAATTGTGTGGTATATTTCTTTTTGAATACACAAATACAGTTAGGTTGTACAATTTTCTGCTTTTTAGAACTTCTTTTTTCTTTTTCAGGGTTTCTGTTTTTAATCCGCATCACCTCATGTAATTTACCACTCGCTCCTCCACCTCGCGTGTCTGGTCGCTGTCTCAGATCGAAGCTCCTTCTTCCATGTAGTTGATCAGTTGCTCCTCCACTCTCTCTCTCTCTCTCTCTCTCTCTGTAGCCTTCTCTCTAGAATCAATTCAAAGTTGTACAAATCTACTTTTGATTTTGGTTTTTTATTGAATTTTACTGTTTTACAATTGAAATTCTGTGTGGATTGTAAAGTTTAGAAATTTTTTAGGTATGTGTTCGCCCTCCAAATTCACCATGGGTCTCATGGGAATTTACTTGAACAAGAAATTAATGATTATGAGCATGCCACTATTAGTTGCCGTTAGTAGACGGGATTTGAATGATTGAGATTGCACCTCGACTTCTAACCAAGAGATTGTAACGTTAAGTGGAAGTGGCCCAAATTAAGGTTCTTCCCTTGCCTTAATGATAAGGACTAGGGCTGGGTTCGGTTCAAATTCGATTCGATTAATTGTTTTTTTTTATTTTAGAAAAATGAAAAAAATTTGAAAATTATTTTTAAAAATCTAAATATTCACAAGCAGCGATTGAGGGAAAGTTGAGAGTTCTAAAAGTTATCTACCTATATACGAATACATGTGTATATATATGCTTATATGGTGCTTCATTGATTTGCAGAGGTGTATGCAATAGCACAAGTTGGAGCTCTCTGCTTTGTAAATGCCTATTGCCACAATTGCAGAAACTCTGGAAAACAATGGGATGACTGGCTGTTGACTAAAAAAAAAAAAATCATGACATTGGTTGATTCTAGCTAAAGAGCTAGTCCAAAAAGCCAAGTTGAAATCATCTCCAATCGAAGGGTCCAGAGGTTCATAGGGCCAATTTGGAAATCATCTTTGAATAGCCCGAAAATCATCTCCAACTAAGGGCTAGGCCAAAGGACTCGTGGGCCCCATTGGACAAAAGAGAGCCAAAAGGCCAACCAGCTGGCCCAACTCAGCCAGCCAGCCAGCCTGGGGTTGGCTAGAATTTTCATTAGACCATCTCCAACCGAAGGGTCCATAGGGCCGAAAAACAGACAAAAATCGTCTCCAATCGAGGGTTAGGCCAGAGGGTTTGTAGGCCCCATAGAATCTGAAAAGGCCAAAGGGCTGGCCCAAATGAGCCAGCCAACTAGCCCCAGGCTGGGCCAGAAAACTCACCAATCCTGTCGGATATAACCGACAAGAATTCTAGACCAAAATTCAAATGTAACGGCTAACTAACGTTAGCTAGCCGTTATTTTTTATTTTTATTTTTTTACATTTTTTTTTTTACAAATTTTTTTCCCTATATAACTTCATTTTTTAAATTCTATTTTTTTTTTCTATAACTTCTATTTTACAAAATTTGTTGCATATATATTTTTTTAAATTCTATTTTTTTCCTAAGACTTCCTAAGCCATTATACAACATTAAATTAAATTAAGTAACATGAAACAACATTAAATAACATTAACCAACATTCAAATTATACAACATAAAAAAAAACATTTAACAACATAAAAATTATAGCCTAATATCCAACCTATTTATAGCAAAAAAAAAATTCAAATCCAACGGCTAGCTGACATCAACTAGCCGTTGGATTTGAATTTGAATTTTTTTGGGCCAAAATTTGTAAAAAAAATGTTTAAAAATTCTCATTTTTTTCCTACAAATTTAAGTTGTTGTAGTTTTTAAATTTAAATAATAAATTATGTTTGGCCCTATGGCCCTTTGGTTCTTGGTTGGAGACGGTTTTTTGTGGCAGGGCTAAAACGAGCCCTATGGTCCTTGGTTGGAGATGGAGGTAAATATGGTCCTGTACCGTTCATTAAAATATTAATATCTTGGATGGCCAGAGGGCTAAAACGAGCCCTCTAGCCCTTGTTCGATTGGAGATGGTCTTATTCATGTCGGTTATATCCGATAGCATTGTACTTTTTCCTGTTGGTTATAGCTGACAGGAATGGTAGGCCTTTTTTTATTTTTATTTTTATTTTTTTTTATATATATAACGAAAGTTAAATTTTTTTTTTAAATTCTATTTTTTTCCTATAACTTCCTAAGCCATTATACAACATTAAATTAAATTAAGTAACATGAAACAACATTAAATAATACGAAAACTAATGAAAAGAGCTTGAAAATTTTGAGTTTTAACGATAATGACAAAATAAAGGGTAAAGTGAATAGTACTATGATTGATTTTTTAGTGAAAAAATATGGTTTTTCGTTAAAGTAAACAGTACCGAGAGCTTTTCGTTAAAGTTCCCTTAAATAACATTAAATTTAAATAATAAATTATGTTTGGCCCTCAGTTAGAGACCGTTTTTTGTGACAGGGTTAAAACGAGCCATATGACCATTTGACCCTTAGTTGGAGATGGAGGCAAACGTGGCCTTGTACTGTTTATTAAAATATTAACATCTTGGAGGGCTAGAGGACTAAAACGAGCCCTCTGGCCCTCGTTCGATTGGAGATGGCCTAAGACAGAACATATTTTGGTCTAAAATTAAGCTGATGATTGACTTGAATTGGGTAGAGAAAATATGTCACATCCCGCCCTGGGCGGGACCACTTCCCGGGCCCGCTCCACCACCATAGCACGATATTGTCCGCTTTGGGCTTACCATTCCCTCACGGTTTTGTTTTTGGGAACTCACGAGCAACTTCCCAGTAGGTCACCCATCATGGGATTGCTCTAGCCCCTAACTCGCTTAACTTCGGAGTTCCTACGGAACCCGAAGCCAGTGAGCTCCCAAAAGGTCTCGTACTAGGTAGGGATGAGAATATACATATAAGGATCACTCCCCTGGGCGATGTAGGATGTCACAATCCACCCCCCTTAGGGGCCCGACATCCTCGTCGGCACACCATAACCAGAATTAGGCTCTGATACCAAATTGTCACATCCCGGCCTGGGCGGGACCACTTTCCGGGCTCGCTCTACCACCGTAGCACGATATTGTTCGCTTTGGGCTTACCATTCCCTCACGGTTTTGTTTTTGGGAACTCACGAGTAACTTCCCAGTGGGTCACCCATCATGGGATTGCTCTAACCCCTAACTTGCTTAACTTCGGAGTTCCTACGGAACCCGAAGCCAGTGAGCTCCCAAAAGGCCTCGTGCTAGGTAGGGATGAGAATATACATATAAGGATCACTCCTCTGGGCGATGTGGGATGTCACAAAATAAATACCTAACTTAAATAAGCAAATAAGATTAACATATATTTAAATCAGTTTCGTTCGATTTTTCAAACCACCAAAACCGAAACTAAACCAAAAGATTTTAGTTCGGTTCAGTTTCGATTTTTTTTTTATTTCGGTTCAGTTTTTTGTTTTTTGAACCCATCCCTAATAAGGACTTTATTCATGTGGAGAAATATAACAACATGTAAATTGCCAGTTTGTTGGAAGTGTAGATGACAGAGGAAATCAAAGAAAGTGAATCCCACCGCCCATCCGTTAATCCCACTTGCAATGAATTTAAGAAGCAAGTTGGCTTCCTTCCTTCTTCTTTCTATCTCCCATGTCTGCCATCATCCCTACTTGCAATAAAGGCACCGTTTCAAACTTTGTGGACAAACATTCCCCGTGCAATTTTTAGTATATTTTCACACTAATCCTCCAAAATGTCATATTTTAACTTTAAATACAAATAAGTAAAATTGTGCATATTTTAGGTGCAAACAGTAGGTGATTAAATTTTTCTTGCATTTGACAAAATGGAATAAAATAGAAGTTGCTTTTAAGTGCTTATGTTTTAGACTGGATGTTATGGCTTAGAGAATATCTTTTTTCCTAATATTTAAATTCTTGATGCACTTGAAGCATCTGTCAATGAATTCAGCTTTCATATATCAAGTTAATCAAGTCCATCTTTTCTTAATCACTCAATCAATCAAGTTCTTAATTTTGTTTCGTTTTCAGGTTAATTCACATAGTTTAGGCAAATAATGATAGTACACGGAGCCTTCGATCACTGCTTCCCCTTGAAAGGGTGAATTCAACATGATTGAATTACGACTTTCATACATATTAAACCGAATTGATTTAAGCATGATTGATTTGAGTATGAATGGTTTTGAAAACATGGATTCATATAAGATTTAAAGCTTAGGGCCTTTTAATGCTTAGTTAAGGCAATATTTTTCTGTAGTTCAAACTACACATATTTTATTCGAAAAACATCTCAGTCCTGTTGATAAAAAGTCAATAACTAAAAGCATTAAGTGGTTAGACACCAAATAATTGTAAGGAAACCACCCACTTTTTGTTTTGGTACATATTACATGACAGTCGGATTCACAGAAGCATATGCAAGCAGCTCCTTATCGCATTCACATTTGGCCATGTCTTCATCACTCAAAGTCACCAATGCTTCTATGCCTTCCCCATCTCTTGTATCGGTATACATAGCTACATTCTTCATTGTTATAGTCTGACAAACCCACAACGGCTTTCCCCATCCGAAATTGGCTTCGTAGAACGGAAACCTGCACCAACTGCTGCAGTGGTAGTTGTCTACCCTCTTAATGCGATCCCCAAAGTCTTTCATGAATCCACATGCTTCCTCCCCACTTACTCCATTCGCATATTTTTCTTTAAATTCCTCCATCCCTTTCCTCAGTTTAGCAACCACGCTTGGATAATCAATATCGACAACTTCACTTGCTTCCATTTTTACTACAAACATCCCCACAAGATTTCCCATTAAGTTTTCTGCCAAGGGCCGCTGCACTATTTTCCGTAAGCTGGCATTGGTAGACCACACAGATTGCCTTACAACACCCGAGTTTGATCTCGACGCTGCAGTGGCACACTTCCAAATCAGGGCTGACACTGATTCAAGGCGCGTTGGGTTTCGTACGGAGGCACTTACAGCCTTGGACTTAAGAGCAGCAACCTTTGAGGCCTCAAACACAAATCTTTTGCTTATGCACTTTTCTTCAACGAGCTCCATGGCAGGAGGAGGTGAGTTCAAGAAATCTAGTTGTGGGAAAAGGGAAACTGCAAGCATCAAATTTAGGAGTAAGTAAAACATGCTCAGTACTAACAGTACTGGAGGCAAGGGCAACTGCAGCCCAGCTTCGAATGAATGTGCTGAGCGTATAGCCATCAATGATGATATGTGAACTGCTGACCGCAATCGCCAACCCGCCACATTCAAAGAAATTGGCCTGGATTAGCAGAAGATGGCCTGTCTCTGCTTGTGAGGATCCTTGACTGGCTGGTAGCAGTTGTCTTAGGATCTCAAAATCTGGTTTTACCAAAATCTTCGACATGGGACAGTTAACTTGAGCCTGAAGAAATGCAACCCCATGGTCATCGCAAGAAATGGAAACATTATATTGGAATGTCCCTGCAAAGGGGTAGAAATGAGTAAGAGCTTCTGATAAGGATGCTTTCAGAATGTTCGATCTTTCAGCAACCGAAGAATGGTGATCAATACTATCAACGGCATCACTGTTAATGTTGCTGGGATAGAAGAGAAGCAGTGGGACAAAAACATCTGGAGCAAGTTGATCGAAAACAGAAAGCTGGGTGGTTTTGAGGTGTGGAGGAGTTGGAGAGGATGGTTTAATTGTTTCCTTGTAAATGACTTCAACCTTCATCTCTGAAGCCATCTTTTTCTGTTTTTCTCCTTGATAACAATCACCCTTTCTTTACGAAAGGAGAATGGGATGAACGGAAACGGAATTCGGGAATCACAATGGGGAATTTCCCGGAATCAGATTCTCTAACAATTGGTGGTATTTGGATTCCTTGAACTGGTGTCCTCCAGGAATCAGACTTTTCTTCCAAAATTGCCCTCTCGTGTTCTCCAAATCCACCAGTTGGGAGGTCGTCAGAGATGGTAGGAGGACCTGTGAATACGGGAGGCGGTGGGAGGATTTGTGAATATGGGAGATTGTGGGGGTTGGCGGAAGGAGAGGATATGAAGGGAAAGGGGACTCTTGGACGACCTGTGAATATGAGAGGCGGTGGGAAGGGCTGGGATAGAAAAGAGGGAGGCGTGAGAGGGCTGTGAAAGGGGGAGGCGTCGAGGGCTGTGAAGGTTGGGGAAGGAAAATGATTGGACAGGATGAGAGCCTACGAGGGAGATCGGGAAGAATATGTAAGGATGAATTTTACATAAAATAAATGTTATTAATTATTTTTATATAGATAAACTTCATTAATGTTCAAATCTATTTTAAAACAAGGATATGGACGGTTTCTCAATCAAGCTAGTTCTCATTGAATTGGTAAATATATTATGGAACCAATATCATTATTATTCCAATTCCCGTTAGTTTAGTAAACATTTTAACAAGAATTTAATTCTGTTTTCTCCATAATCTAATTCTTTATTAATTCAATTCTTAATTTGATTATGAATTAATAAACAAGCCATTAAATCTGTTGTCTTCCTCACACAACACAAACAGGTCATACCCAATCACTGTCAACTTAGTTGATTGATTGTCAACCACAAAATAAAAAAAAAAACATGATGTGCCGCTTCAGGATTCCACTGAATAAATATCTTTAGTTACCCGAGTTGAATTCGTCTTAGTTTCTTCCTTTTTATTCAGCAAATTGGTGCAGTTTATTTCTTATATTTTTGTCTTTTTTCTATATAAACAAATTACATAGAAAAGTCTTATTAAAATGAGGAATGGTATGTTGTGTTTGGCTCATATAAGTTGTTTATATTTGTGTTTTTTTTTTTTTTTTGTTCTATTATTGGAGTATGAGTATGAGATGGAAGAGTTTTAGGGCCGGCTATAAAGTATTCAATGTTGTTTTTGCCTCATATACTTATGAGTGGCCAGCAAGTTTGCATGTGTCACTTTGTGTATTCTACAAGGAAATGGCAGCAGCCATTTGTGACGTTGTGTTTTCTTTGAGTCTTCGTCTAATAAAAGACTGATGACCGACACAAATAAAGGTGGAAGCAACTCTTGACTTTTTGGTGTCGTTTGTTGAGAGGAGGAGATGAAAATAGGAACATAGATAATCCTAGTCTCCTGAGGTTTGCTACTTTATATCTATTTCAGAAGATAAGTTTTAAATATTTCCTTCCCTGGCTTGCCAATTGGTCAACGTGAAGCTCACCGGAGTTCAGCCATCATAAAGCTTAGCATGTCTAAATTGATTTTTCTCTTATTTTTTCTAGTACTTAAACAAGTTTTAAAATACTAATCTAAAAATGTAATGATAAGACAAATTTCAAGTAATGAAAAAAAAAAAAAAAAAAAAAAAAAACTAATGAAAATGGTTTGAAAACTTTGAGTTTTAATGATAAGGACAAAATAAAAGGTAAAGTGAATAGTACCAGGATTGAATTTTTAGTGTAAAAATATGATTTTTTTGTTAAAATGAACAGTACCATGAACTTTTCGTTAAAGCTCAAAAAAAAAAAAAAAAAAAAAAAAAGAGAATCCTTACCGGGGAATTCAAATGGTGCTTTGATATGAAAAATGAAAGTCAACTTGTTGGATCCAAATGAATCTCAGCCTTTGATCTTGGATTGGTGAGCAAGAATGCATAGAAGTCTAATGACTAGTTTTCATTTAAATGAAAAAACTGGTTAGGTGATGAGTTTTGTCTTATAGGTCCACATGTAAGGCTTGGATTATTATGTGTTGTAAGGGATAAACTGAATTAACAACTATAAATGTGCGTTTGTTGCATTGAATTATTTCAGATTGGAGTAATTTAAAATTTTAGTTGGACTAACTTAGTTTAGACTAAACAGGATAAGAATGGTAAAATATTTAGTGCAGTATCAGACTATGTCCTAGACTAAATATCTTTTGGCTCAAAAAAATAATTTCAATTTTTTTTTATTTTTTTACCTTTCTCCATTTTGCTTGCACACAGGTGGAGATCTTTCAATGGATCGCGGTGGTCCCAAAACCCTCCAAAATCTCGAAGAAGCACCTGTGATGACCTTTTGAGAACCACTCGACGTTTTGGACAGTTCGTGGTTGTAGAACTCCATGGATTGCAGAGGTTTAACAAAGAAGATGAAGAAGATCTAATTTTTTTAATAACTTGGTGAAAACGTTGTCGCTTTGAGCTAGGCAATTTGAAAAAAAGGTAATGTTAGGGAACTAAATTTGTAGACAAAATTTACAAACTAAATGATTTGTCACCAAGAAAAATGAGCACAGTTATAGATGCTTTTGTCATAATTTTTTTTTGGTACAACAATATATTTTTACACTAAGGCGATGGGGAGTTTGGCTAAGTCATACAATGGGCAACTTAATTTGGTATCGAATTTTTCATCCACGAGATTCGAACCTAAGACTTCTCACTTATAAGTAAAGAGGAATACCACTAGACCGTAGTACTGAGTGGCAACGCTTTTGTCATAATTTAATCGTTAACCCTTGAAAAAAAAAAAAATCATCTTCGGATCTCTTCCACCAATACAATTGGATCAAATGATCCAGGCCTTTGAAATTTCATCCAATGACAAAAAATTATTATAGCTTTTAAAGGATCAAAACAAGTGAGCCGTTAGATGAAATTTTAAAGGTTTGGATCACTTGATCGTATAGTTTTGATGAAAGAGATCTGGAAATGATCTATTTCATGAAAAAAGAGAAAAAAAAAAAAACTCTCTTTTGTTTACAAACCCGAGGCCCAACTAGCCTCATTAATTAACGCAAAGCCCTAAATCTATCCTTTCAAATTTCAATCCTAACCCAACGAAACCCCACCACCACTGGTCCACCTATGTCCACCATCACCTGACTACAATATTGAAATTCAAATAAATTTCAAAGTTGGTCTTATACGTATTAGATGATAATTTTGATATGATTATGTCATATAGTTTATGACTTTTTTTTTATTTTTTTATTTAGGTAGGCCTCAAAATGGTTTTGGGACTCATAAGGCCCATTGGGCCGAAGCCCACTTGATCCAACCTAAGTCATAGAGTTGACAAAATGTGAAAAAGGCCCAAAAAGGGGGCATTCCTGATTTTGGCATTATGGATGCTAAGGTTTGGGTTTTTCAACACCTTTATGGTCTATAAGATGCATGCACTCATGATTCATCCTTCTCTAAGAAGGAAATGACCATTTCACAATGAGTTTGTGGGGAAGTTGCTCCTTAGAATACAAAACTTGCATGTTAGAGTTTAAGAGTATGTAAGAAACTTTCTATTGGGAGTTGTGTTCATCTTTCTGAAGAGATGAATGCATTCAAGCCTAGGAGAGCTTAGAAAACTCAAAAAGAAAAATTGAAATACCACCACAACCACCACCACCACCACCACCACCCTTGTCGTCCCCTCCCCTCAAAAGAGACCAATAGAATAGTTCACGTCTCTCTTATCTCATCCACCACCATCTTCGTCTTCCAAATGTGTCAAAAGTTAGAGGGTTCCTAACTTGGAACCTAGGAGAACACATACAAGGAATATCAAGAGCAAGGAGCTTGGAGCTTGGAGAAAAGGCTAGTGGCATGGAGCTTGTAGCTAGGAGCTTGGAGGAGCGTGAAGGAGGGCTCAGAAAGCACGCTACAAAGGTAAGCTTGGAAACCTTCTCTCTGTGTTGGTTTCAAGCATGCATGTAAGAAAATTAAAATGTTTCGACGACATTGATCAATCTTCAACCTTAGAAACCAAAAGAATGATATACATCAATTCATGCACTTTAAGATAAAAAGTCTTCTATTAATTGTTAATCCATTCTATATAAATTAAAATGTTTGAACTTGTTAGTCTATACTTCATTTAGTGATTCCCATTTTAAGTAAATTTATGGATTCACCTCTGCTTGTAAGAAAATTTAAGCTACAAATAAGTACGTCGAGTCGTCGACTGGAAACTATATTTTTCACAACGTATTGTTTCTTCTTAACATTGTGGGGATACCCAAATGTGCTGGGTAGACATTTTACCTTTCCACATTCGTTTACCCCCCATTGTACATAAACATTACCATATTGCAATTAGAGAGCACAAGGAATCCAAAACCAAGTACTTGGCACATTACATTGTCAGGTTTCGAAAATGTCAAGAACGGATCGTAGAGAAGACCCCAAAAGCATTCACAAATGCTGTGCTTTTCTATCCACTGCAAAATTCTCATCCCTGTCGCTATCACTTGATGACTCATCGTGACTGTTGGATATAAGTCAACAATCTGTGATAAAATTATATCTGCTAATAAATAATAAATGCGAATAGGAAATTAACAGAGTATGAATAACGAAATAATATTGAACAGAAATATTGAAGATCGAGGCTTGCATACCGCAATGTCCTTGAAACAGAAATTTCGTCCCTACTCAGTGCTTGTAGTTCTACGGACGTCTGCTTCACCAGTATTCAATGATTAAGTCAGAATTCCAACACCAGAAAAATTGACTTATGGCGAATTTCTATGTGGTTCTCTCAGTAAGGATGTTTTGGATTATAGAAGAAGAATTGTTTTTTCTGTGTTCTAAATGTCATGCAGATGGATGTATATATAACATGATTATGCCTGTTCACAACAGATATGAGGAAGGATACATCTGTTGGGAGACATCTTCTCAGAGGGGTGTTTTCTTTCTGCGTTTTTTCACACTTCAGACTTCATCCTGAAAAGATGAGTTTGTTGGTAAAAAAAAAAAAAAAATTAATTATAAATTAATTACCAATAAATTAGTACATCCTAAAGCCCAACCCCAAGGGTGAGCCTAATTTTAATCTCCAAGGCCTATCACTTCAATTACTTTTTATAAGGGACAAAGCATTATAAAGTGAGGAAACCTTTTGGGAATGACCAATATGGGACAATGAAATTTCAACTCAAAATTTCCAACAGTGACTAAGCTCCTTTTTTACGACATCTGAAACTCTTCTACGCTTGACAACACCGGCAGCCTTCAATTCCATTTTCTTCTTTTTCAACAATTCCACTTCTCCCTATATGCCCTGCAAAACAAAAGGAGAACGAAGAAGGCAAACACTAACAACAAACACAATTGAGTTGCAAAAAAGAAAAGAATGTTTGCAAAGATAGCACATTATTGCTGCACTGCACTACCTTTGCTCCACTGATTCAGCCTCTTCTATCGTCTCAGCAGCATCAATCTGCATCACAATTGCA